CTCATTAAGTTCTTCAACCCGAAGATTTGCCGCAACATCCCATTCTAAGTTCAACTTCCTCAAATCCCACATGGCCTTGTGCTCTAATTCCACCGAAAGATGGCAAGGTTTCCCAAACACCAACCGATACAGAGACATACCAATCGGAGTTTTGTAAGTTGTCCGATAAGCCCATAGAGCGTCATCCAACTTTTTCGACCAATAGGTCCTATTAGCATTGACAGTTTTAGACAAGATGCTCTTAATTTCTCTATTGGAGACTTCCACTTGACCACTAGCTTAAGGATGATAGGGGGTAGAAACCTTATGATTGTCACCGTACTTAGAAAGCATCGTGTCGAAAGCCTTGTTGCAAAAGTGAGACCCCTCATCACTAATGATAGCACGAGCTCTTTGGATTGAGAGGGGCATCTCGTCCCTTTTAGAAATTTCGCCGGCTCTTTGGCATTGATCACATCTTTTGACAAAATCCACCGCATCTTTAAACAAGGTAGGCCAATAAAATCCGCAACTAAGCACTTTAGAAGCCGTCCTCTCCCCACCATGATCGCCACCATAGGGAGAGGAATGGCAAGCCTCCAAAATACCCAATTGTTCCTCCTCTGGGACACATCATCGAATCATACCATCGGTGCAAATCTTAAACAAATATGGCTCGTCCCAATAAAAATCCAAGCTATCCCGCTTGAGCTTCTTCCTTTGGTTGGAAGAGAGCTCACACGGGATGATTCCGGTAACAAGATAATTTGCGACATCGACAAACCAAGGCATTCCATTCATTAACACCGCAAGGAGTTGCACGTCGGGAAATGAATCATTTATCTCAAGGCCGTCACAAGGCCTCCCCTCCTCCTCCAAACGGGACAAGTGGTCCGCCACTTGATTCTCACTCCCTTTTCGGTCAACAATTTCCAAATCAAACTCTTGGAGAAGCAATACACATCTCATCAATCTTTCCTTTGAGTCCTTCTTGGTCATCAAATACCTAAGGGTGGCATGTTCGGTGTGCACTATAACTTTGGCCCCCATAAGGTAAGGTCGGAAATTTATCATAGCAAAAACAATAGCCAATAACTCTTTCTCGGTGACAGTGTAGTTCCTTTGAGCCTCATTCATGGTCTTGCTTGCGTAGTACACCGAATGGAACATTTTGTTGATCCTTTGGCCCAAAATAGCCCCAACCACAATGTCACTAGCATCACACATGAGCTCAAAAGGCAAGCTCCAATTTGGTGCGGTAATGATGGGGGTCGAAGTCAACTTGAGCTTAAGAAGCTCGAATGCTTGCATACAAGTTCATCGAACAAGAACTTAGCATCTTTCTCTAGCAACTTGCACAACGGATGTACCACTTTAGAAAAATCCTTTTATGAACCTCCGGTAGAAACCCGTGTGCCCAAGGAAACTCCTCACCACTTTGACAGAAGTAGGGGGAGGGAGCCTCTAAATAACCTCAATCTTGGCCTTATCAACTTCAATTCCTCACTTGAGATCTTGTGACCCAACATTATACCTTCTTCTACCATGAAATGGCACTTTTCCTAATTGAGAACAAGGTTGGTGTCCTCACACCAGGCCAACACTCTATCCAAGTTTACCAAGCACTCCTCAAAAGAATCCCCAACCATGCTGAAATCATCCATGAAGACCTCCAAGATATCCTCCACCATGTAGGTGAAAATAGCCATCATGCAACGTTGGAAGGTCGCTGGAGCATTACACAATCCAAATGGCATTCGAGAGAAAGCGAATGTGCCATAAGGATATGCAAAGGTAGTCTTCTCTTGGTCCTCTAGGGCAATTAGAATTTGATTGTACCCCGAGTAACCATCCAGAAAGCAATAGAAAGCCCGCCCCACTAGACGATCAAGCATTTGATCAAGGAATGGCAATGGGAAATGATCTTTTCTAGTCACCTTGTTCAGCTTCCGGTAATCCATACAAACTCTCCACCCGGTGACCGTTCTAGTAGGAATGAGCTTATTGTTGTCATTGGTCACCACGGTCATACCACCCTTATTTAGCACACATTGCACCGGAAAAGTCCACGAACTATTAGAAATAGGATAAACCACCCCAACATCTAACCACTTGATAACCTCTTGCTTCACCACTTATTGCATCGCCTCATTTAATCTTCTTTGATGCCCCAAGGAAGGCCTTGCATCCTCCTCCAAGATGATCTTATGCATGCAAAATGCGTGGCTTATACTCCGAATGTCGGCCAACGTCCATCCAATAGCATTCTTCTGCTTTTGAAGTACCGCCAAAGTGGCATCAACCTGCATGCTAGTTAAGCAAGACGAAAGAATAGTAGGTAAAGTAGAATTTGAACCCAAGAATTCATACTTGAGGTGTGGAGGAAGTGGCTTCAACTCCAACACCGGTGGCTCCTCAATCGATGGCTTTGTTGGTGGAGTTTTGCCGTTTTCAAGATCCAAAGATAACTTCCTAGGCTCATATGAATATGAACCCATACCATGCAATGCATTCACGCACTCCACTATACTAGCATCATCATTGACATCCATATTAAGAAGCATGGCCTCAAGGGGATCTTCAACATTGATCATGAAACTTGTGTCATCCACTATCACAGATGTGACAATGTCCACAAATGAACACACCTCGGTGCTATTGAGTTGTCTCATTGATTTGCAAACATGGAATACAACCTTCTCATCTCCCACTCGGAAAGTCAACTCACCCGCTTCAACATCAACCAATGCCTTCCCCGTAGCAAGGAAAGGTCTACCAAGAATAATCGGCACTTTAAAGTCCACCTCACAATCCAATATGACAAAGTCAGCCGACAAAATAAACTTCTCCACCCGAACAAGTACATCATCAATTATGCCCAAAGGTCGCTTCATCGATCGATCCGCCATTTAAAGTCTCATTGAGGTTGGTCGAGGTTGTCCAATTCCCAAAGTCTTGAAGACCAAATACGACATCAAATTTATGCTAGCCCCAAGCCACAAAGGGCCTTGGCAAAATCCGCACTTCCGATAGTACAAAGGATAGTAAAAGCTCTGGGGTCCTCAAGCTTGGGTGCCATTGAATGCACTATAGCACTCACTTGATGTGTGGTATAGTCCATTGACCTCTTCTTTGTCACCAAATCATTCATAAAATTGGCATACCCTGGAATTTGCTCAAGTGCCTCCACCAAAGACACATTGATTGTGAGACTCTTCATTATTTCAATGAACTTTTTGAATTGGTTGTCACTCTTTTTATTTGCTAACCGTTGAGAATAAAGTGGAGGTGGCCTAGGTAAGGGAGCCTTGGCCTTTGGTACAACCATCTCGGGCATGTCAATCACGTGTTCCCTAGGCGGGTTCACAGCATCTTGAGTCTCTACCTCGGCCTCATCATCGATATCAATCCGTACATCATTGTTCGCATTTTGTTCAACCACATCTTCAACGTTCAAAGGCACATCATCATCACACAACTCAACATCATCCTCCACAACTTTCTTTTCTCTCGAGGCATGCACATCACCGCCTCTTCCACTTCTAGTTGTAACCGTCATCACATGTTGTTATTCCCATCCTTCGGGTTCACTACCGTATCACTTTGTAGAGCACCCTTGGGATGAGTATTCAAAGCTTGAGAAATTTAACCTAGTTGCACCTCTAAGTTCCGGATTGATGTATTATGAGAAGCCAATTGTGCATCGGAATCTTGGTTCTTTTTCATCATTTGCTCAAACATGTTCTCAATTCTCCCCATATCACTCCCGGAAGAACTTGGACCTTGAGAAGGAAAAGGGGGGTGGATTGTTCGGTTGTTGGTACATGGGGAGCCTTTGAAAGCCTTGCCCCCGGTTCCCTTGGTTTCCACTATTATTCCACCCTTCTTGATTATTGTTGTTGCTCCAATTATTGTTGTTCCCGTTCCAATTGCCTTGATTGTTACCTTGGTTGCCCCAATTTTTGTTTTGATTATTGTTGTTCCAATTGCCACCACCTTGTTGTTGGTTGTTATTATTCCAATTACCGTAGCATTGTTGTTGATTTCCCCAATTTCCTTGGAGACGCCATTGTTGATTCGAAGAGTTGCCTCTATTCCCTTGGTAGTTATTGACATATTGGACCTCTTCGCTTTGATCATCATAACATTCATTTGAATAACCACCACCATCATTGTTGTTGTCATATTGTTCACAATTTCCTTGAGGTTGTTGCCCTCTTTGCCTCCTTTTCAACATAGAAACACCTTCCATGGAATTAACTTGGCGCGGATTTTGGACTTGTTGCAATTGCGCCTTCTCCAATTGGTTCATAGTTGTAGTAAGCTCGGCAATAGCTTGGCCATGATCGTGCAATTCTTTGTGCAAATGGATGACCGTGGAGTCACCTTGGGGCGTTGTGAGCACGTGATTTTTGCCCTATATGAATTATTCCCATAGTTTCAAAACAAAATAATTTTTTTTCATTATTTGCAATTTTATGAATTTTAGGGGCATTTTCTGTTAATTGTTTGCATTTGTCTGTGCATTTTTATTTTTGTTTAATTAATGAAAATTAAAAAAAATATGTGCATTTGTATTTAGGATTTAATTTAATATTTTAGAATTAATTAATTAATTAATTAAGTTGTTTTATAAAAAGGAAAATCACAAAATAGTTAACTTGCACTTTTGGTTTTAATTTTTGATTTTTGAGTAGTTTTCTTTCAGTTAGTGTTCCTTTATTAATTATGGCAATTACTATTTGGGTTTAATTATTGTTTTTGAAAGGTTAATTAGGTTTTAGGATTTAATTTAGATGTTAATTTAATTTTGGAAAAAAAAAGAAGAAAAAAGGATTTTTGGGAAAAATTGAAAAGAATTGAATTAAAAGAAGAAGAAAGCTGAAAGTTTGGGCCTTTTAATTTCTAATCTCCCAAGCCCAAACTATTTCCGGCCCAGATACCCCCTAAACCCGACCCATCTCCACAAAATACACGGACGGATACATACAGACCCAAAACTCAAAATCCCTAATCCCAAACGAGCACTGTTCTTCTTCTCCCAGCGAATCCAAGCCCCATTCCAGCCCAAATCCATGGCGAGTGAACCCAATCTCCAACCACGCGTTCCCTCCCTCTCTCCTCTTGCCAGATTCTAACCGTCTCTAACAAAATCCCTCTCCCTCACATGCTCTTTTCAATTTCATTTCGGATTTTCACCTTTTGGATGATATATGGAAAAATGGGGGGCGTTAGATTGGGTTGGAGTTAATCTAATCCTTCCATTTGTCCCTCTCTCATCAGAAACGGGGTGAAAATCTGTTTGGGGAGAAAATTTTTCGTTTTGGGGATTTCTTGGAGATAAAGGCAGAAGGTTCGAGAAGCTTGGAGATATATAAGGTGAGGTCATTTCTTGGGTAAGAGGGATTTTCAGGGAGATTTTTTTTAGTTTTCAGAAATTAGAGAGAAAATTAAAAAAAAAATTGAAAAGCTCGGGTTCGAAAAGGTGTTCTGTTTTTCTGATTTTCATCCTTCTCCTTTAGTTTCAAATTCATAGATACATATGTAAGAAAAGATGTTGAGTGTGCTGGATTTTTATTTTTTTTTATTTGGTGTTGATTGCTGTTTAAAAGAGTGATAGTATATAGATGTTCAGATCTTCTCTTCGTCTGAGTTTTCTGGAAAAAATGGAACTCGTTTGAAAGGCTGTTGAGTTCACTGCTGTTCGCGGGTTCGAGTTCGATTCGCTGTTGTCTTCTCGTTCAAATTTTAGACTTGAGTCTCGCTCAGTTAAGTTATTGTAATTGCTGAGATCCGATTAATTGAAAACTCTCATTGAGGTCCGTTTCTGATTCCCTCTTATTCTTTTGGTGTGATTTTAGTATGATAGGAGTTTGGCATAATCGATTAGTATAGATTTAAATGTGGTTTGCCTAGTACTGAGCTGATTTTGTTTGCCACAGATTTCTAAGATGCTCTGTTCTCTTCTTGTGCTGGAACTTTGTTTTAGTTTCGAATCTGATTGTTTGTCGAATGCGTTTGATGAAAGTCAGATTTGATTTTTGGTCGTTCGAGTTAGTGAAACACGTCATTTGCTGTTAGAATCAGTTTGATAAAGAAATTTATCACTGTTCAAATGATCCATGGTTTAGTAATGTGTTTTCTTGAACTTGTTGTAAGTGTTGGGATTCAGTTTGTTGGTATAAGCTCGAAACGAGTTCTATAAGCCCTGTTTGATGTGTTTCTTTCCTTTCATCTTGTCATTCTGCCGAATAGGACCATATTCTGGAGGCTTCCGCTTTTCTGTTAGGATATGCTAGTAATTTAACTAAAATCAGTTTGAATTCGTGTCAGCTTCGCGCTAGATTTATTTTTTTCTTGACGATTCGAGTTTGAAACTATCCTAATTCATTTGTTGATCGAGATCCATGTGTGCTTCTTTGATATGGTTTGAGTTGCTTGTGACTTTCATCTTTCAAGATTCCAAAAGATAAGCTAAAAAAACCACTGATCTGAGTTCAAAGTTGCGATTCCGGTTTGAGTTCGAAGGTTGAGGTTTCCCGTTTCTATTTGGAGGTTCCGGCTGAGTTCTTTGTTGTGGATTCATCCAATTTATTTCATTTTGTTTGCTGTAATTTGCTTGGGATTGCTGTTTTCTTGGAGCTTCTCCATCACTGATTCATTTATAGTCAGTAGTTGTGGCTCCATTCGCAGATACTAGCACACGCCTCTAAATCTGCGTTCTTATTTTTGAGAAGATTGAATCTCTCCTTTCTTCAATGAACTCCTTACTATTTGTTGATTTTTGTTTGACTGATTTTGTATAGAGTCAAGTAACATGTCCAAATTTCAATTTGTTTGTGAGATCCATTCGAGTTCGAGTCATATAGAGTTCGAATCAATTTGGTTGTGCAACTATTAATATAGAAATTGGGTTTTCACCTTCAATCGCTCCTGTTTCTGATTTCATAGATAGTACAGTAGTAAATCAATTTGAATCATACAAATGGAAACTGTTTTCCTTATGTTATTCTAACAAGATTGAGCAGCAGATTGAGCCGATAACGTTCAGTATTTTGGGACATTTGTTTTGACTGATAGCCAACTGAAAAGCTGCCCTGTTTTGCACTATTTAGGCAGCAGATTTGCGCAGTTTTGAGCAACAGATTCTGCACTGTTAGCCCTCGTTATTGAATCTGTCTTGGTTTAATTGAAATCTCTCATGTGTGACCATGTACGAAGGCTATTCTATTTTGTCAAGTCATGGATAGGTTTCTGTGAATTCCATTTCTGTTGTAGCATGTTCAATTTCCTTCTTAGAAGTGTGGTTGATGAATTGATTCGCTCGTTGAAATAGATTCATTACAGTATATTAGCTTTTAATTCCCTGCAACAGTAGTGATGGTTGACTACTGTTTAGTGAGGTAAGTAGTTAATTGAATAGATCTTTAGTTAGTCGAGGTGTGCCATCCGAAACAATAATAAGTTATGGCCCTTCAAAATTTAGTTTGAATTCTCTTTGAAAAAAATAGAATTGGGGTGTGCCGTGCCAAACAAAAGTCTCAATTGCATGGCCCTCGTTTTAATTAATCTTGAATTGATCCTTAGAATTCGAGGCGTGCCATTTAGTAAATTTCATGGTCCTCGCAAAGTTACAAACGCGTAGTTGCTTTAGGCGCGTTATTTTAATAATTGATTTCCTTAAACTCGGGTGCGCATTTATGTGACCCAAATCCAAATCTTAACGTTAGATAAAATGTGCTGCGGACTGCGGGTGCGTTATGTGACGCGGTTCAAAACATATTTTAAATAACGTTGCAATCTTCTTTAAAAAATGAATAAAAGCGGTTAAAGTTAAAATTTGCACATAGGTTCAAAATGTTCTAAAATCAGATAATTAAGCCAAATATAACAGTTGAGCGACCGTGCTAAAACCACGGAACTCGGGAATGCCTAACACCTTCTCCCGGGTTAACAGAATTCCTTACCCGGATTTCTGGTTCGCGGACTGTTAAACAGAGTCGACCTTTCCTCGATTCGGGATTTGAACCGGTGACTTGGGACACCATTAAATATCCTAAGTGGCGACTCTGAATTTTAATTGAAATAATCTCGTTTCGATTGTCCTTTAATTGGAAAAACTCCTTTATACCCTTCCGGGGGTAGTAAATCATGTGCTGGGAGCACGTGATTTTTGCCCTATATGAATTACTCCCATAAATTCAAAACAAAATAATTTCTTTCAGTGTTTGCAATTTCGTGGATTTTCGTGACATTTTCTGTTAATTGTTTGCATTTTTGTTTGTGCATTTTAATTAGTGAAAAATACAAAATATATGTGCATGTGCATTTAGGAGTTAATTTTGTATTTTAGGAATTAATTAGTCATTAATTTTTATAAAATGAAAAAGTCTCAAAAATAGTTTATTTTAATTTTAATTTTGAATTTAGCGTAGTTTGTCCTTTAATTTGGTTTAGTTAATAATAGTAGTTAGGAGTTAATTGTTTTGTAAATTGTTATTTAGGTTTTTTATTTTAATTTTGAAAAAAAAAAGAGAAAAGGAAAAGGAATTTTGGATAATTTGTCTTAAAATGAAAATGGAATGAATGAGACTAGAAATTGGGTCAAATTTTGGTTTAAAGTACTCGGCCCAAACGGATTCCTCTCCCCAAGCCAAACAGAACCCGCCCCATCTGAGCCAAAACCCGTTCCCCAAGCCGGCTAGCCCCCTCCCTTCCCAAACGGCGTAGTTATGGGGCAAAACTACGTCGTTCACCCGTTAACCTCCATTTAACGACTAACCCTTCCTCCTATTTTCATTAATCCGCATCTCCTGAGCCCAAAACCTAATCCCCTCTCTGAAATCACCGCCCCTTTCCACCATAGCTCCGTCGTTCGGAAATCGCCTCACGGCGGCGGAGCACTTCAAACCCATCCAAATTTCGACTAGACAACCCCCATCGTCCCCTCTTTCATGTCCTGCCACCATTTTTTCCAAAAGACCACTGGATTTTTTCGAATTTCAGATCAAAGATTAAAAATCCAAGCTTTCTTCTTTTTGCCTAAAATTTTCGGATTACATCCTCAGTTCGTGTTAAAACCTGCATGAATTCCTCAGTTTTCATCAAAAAGGGGGCCATTTCATGTCAAGAACGCATTTTCCCTTGTTTCTGACCCGATTTCAGACACTCAGCCTCAACGATCCAATTTCTTCAAGATTCCGCCTCGTTCCTTTCCTGGCTCGTGATGAGAATTGCGGCACGAATTATTAGCTATGAACAAAAGTTTTCCTAATATTCGTGTTACAATTCTCGCCATTTGGTCAAGCTTTTGAATTCGCTGGAGTTTCGATGTCGGGTCAGCCTCGTCTTTGAGGATTCTGATGTTTAAAATAGATTGTATAGGTATTTTCTGTTCCCTTGGTATTTTTCTGCCTTGTTCTTTTTTTTTTGTTTCAATCTTTAGTCATCATTTTCTTCTCCTTTTCTATAGGATTAAGTTAGATATGCTAGTTAATAACTTAGTGTTAATTTCAGGCTAAAGCATTTTAAAAAAAGAAAAGAAAAGGAATTTGATTAATTGTGTGTGTTGTCGCTGTCCTAAATTGGACTTTTAATTCCCTTGAGTTTTGTTTGTTTGGGCTGGGCTTGGGGTCTGTTGTTTACTAGCCCGTTGCTTGAAGGAAACATGCCCGTTAGCCCAAGTTTAAAATTGGTTTTGGGTCAATCTGACCCTGCTTTGTCTTAAGAGTAAATAACAGGGTTTGGGGGGATAATTTAGGTAATTGGCTCAGGGAATCTCTCACATAACGGTTTGAGAAACTTCTAGGAAGATGGGTGGGGGGTCTAATGTGATTTTCAGATTTTTAATAAGGATATCTAGACAAAAACAAAAATTTGAAAAGGGCTAGAATGCAAAATCAAAATTTGAAGTTTGCCCTATTTACTTGCCTATAAAGGCACCTTTTCTTGCTTTGGAAGGCAGACTTCAAGAGAAAAAATTCTGAAAATACTCACGGCTGAAACTTTGAAATTGTTCCATTGATTTCTCGGTTTTGAGCGTTGAAGTTTTCAGTGATTGAAACATTTTCTGATTCTTTCCATGTTTAAGATGACTTAAATTTGGATTTCTTAAAGTTTTGGGTTGGATTCTGTTGGGTAGCTACTGTTCCATTGGCTTTAATTGGCCATTTTTGTTGTTTTACTGAGTTTGGGTGTTGAATCTTGTTGCTACTCTGCTGTTGTAGATCACTGACCCCTTACATTTTGATTTCTTTTCAATTTCCAGATATTGTTCATTCCTTTGACCAATGAAATGAAGAAGCCAAGTATTTGTTGGAAGTTGGAAATACATGAGCATTAGTTTTCAGCATATGTTTTGTTTTCTACACTTCTGAAAATCATCCCATTTCAGTTTTGAGATCATTTGCAGTGTTAAACGAATCATGTGCTCCAAATTATTAGTGATTTGCGTGAATCTTAATGTTCAGATTTGTATAAAAGGACTCCAAAGGACTATTATAGTGTAACGTGGATCAGAATGCTTAAGCTTTTGGTTTTTTTTTTTTTTGCTTATTATCTGTTGATATCAACATCATTAGTATGAGTTCCATTTGAAGGGTGTAATTCAGACTCTTATTGTTTCTTAGATTAACCTATAAGATTGATATTTACCATTCACATGTCTTGAGCAAAAATGCCCAAATAGCATGAAACTGTCTGTTAAAGAACAGCTCCAGAAATCTGAGTTAAGCATATGGTTACTCGATACTTGTTTAATTCTTAATCTCCAAATGTTTCTATGTTCGTCCCTATTGTAATAGTTAAAACAGAAGGTAAATGGGAAATTTGTGTGCACGTTTCATGGGATTTTAATTTCATGCTTGCTAAAACAAAATCAGACTTTGTTTCAGTTAGTTAATTTTTGCCAATTATTTTAAGCCATGGATTAAGTTGTTCACACGGCTCAATACCCCATGGTGATATTATGTTGATCATCGTTTTTAGCTAACTAGACAAGCTTGGCAATCTCAGGGCTACTAAATTTGGGCCCATATTGGGCCTGAAGTTGAAAGCTTGCCCAGAATTAGAATCCTGCATATGGCATCGTTTGGGTTAGCTCAAAGTCGCTGGTCCGTTTCCCTGAGTGTTGATTCGTGGGTGTCAAATTCGGCTCGGGCCTTTAGCATAATATATATTTTGAACTGCTAGGGGTTGATTTTTTTCCTTAATCAATTAGACTCTTTTGATATTTTGAGGTGTGCCATTCAAACCAATAACAACCTATGGCCCTCATGTATTAATTTAGAAATGCTCTAATTAGAATAAGTTGAGGTGCGCCATACCAAACAAAAATGATAATTGCATGGCCCTCGTTTAATTAATCTTGTTTATCCTTAGAACTCGAGGCATGCCGTTTAGTAAATTTCATGGCCCTCGCAAAGTTGCAAACGCGTAGTTGCTTTAGGCGCGTAATTTAATAACATTACTTTCCTAAATTCAGGTGCGCATTTATGTGACCCAAATCCAAATCTCAACAATGTTAAAATATGTCAAAGATTGCGGGTGCATTTATGTGACGTGGTTCAAAACGTGTTTTAATAACGTTGCAATATTCCTAAAATTAAATAAAAGCGATTAAAGTTGTAATTGAACCATAGGCTAAAATGTGTTTAAAATCAGATAATAAGCCATTTATAGCAGTTGAGCGACCGTGCTAGAACCACAGAACTTGGGAATGCCTAACACCTTCTCCGGGGTTAACAGAATTCCTTACCTGGATTTCTAGTTCGCAGACTGTATTACAGAGTCAACCTTCCCTCAATTCAGGATTTTAAACCTGTGACTTGGGACACCATAAATCTCCCAAGTGGCGACTCTGAATCTTTTAATAATATAATCCCGTTTTGATTGTCCTTTAATTGGAAAAACTCCTTTATACCCCTTCTGGGGGTAGGAAAAAGGAGGTGTTACAGCTCTGGCGACTCTGCTGGGGATATAAGAACCCAGAACTTTTGGTTCAGGGTTCAGAATTCGAGCTTAGATAAATTGTTATATTTGGCTCTATCTGATTTTGCTACATGTTTGGGCCTAATGTGTTGAGTGATGCTTTTACCACTTTGATATTATTTGAACTATATATAAACTGCTACGAAACCCTTCTCTTCTCAGCTTCGGGGATGTGTTCGCTGTTCGAGAATCCCTATTCTGTTAGTGTCATACCTTGAAATAAGAAAGAGGCTCGGACAAGTTACTAAGCCGGATGGCCTTTTGGTTCCCGGTATGTAGCCCCCTCCTCGGCTCAAGTTGTCCGCACGGGTACATAGTCTAGAACAAATACCCAGGTTTTGAACCTAGAATAACTCAGCCTCATGCCGGATCCCTAGTAGGAACGTTTATTTGCATCATATGTATTTGACTTTGGAGACTCAACACAGGGGTTGGGTCTATCTAAGACAGGTGTACCCAGAATATAAAGACCATTATGATGCATCTTACTTGCTACTTATGCATTCATTTGCTTCGGATTTGCATGTTGACCGGCTTATAAGGAAAATTTAGAAAGGTTAATGAGATGGTTGAGAGGGATGAGTGCCTTTTCTGAACCAATGTCCCAAAACATATCGAAACTCTGTCGAAATTTTGAAAGAAAAAAAAAGAAATTTTGTGGTTTTAAAGAAAAGAAAAAAGGGGAAAATCTTTGTGTTTTTAGAAAAGAAAATAGTTGGTTTTATTTTGTCAAAATTGCCCGAACTACGCCAGTTTGATTCTCATAGGGCATGAGATACGTAGGCAACGCCCATCGGGTCTAACTTCCTTTTTGAAAAAATAGCCCAAAAAGAATAAAAAATGTATTTTTATTATAAAATAGGTAAGGTGATGCCATTTTTGTCAAAAATAGCCGAATATCCCCAAAAAGGATACCGGAAGGCCGTTTTTGCAAGAACAACCACCTTCGATCTTTTTTCCAAATTTTTGGCCAGTTAGCGGGCACAACCTTAAAATCTTCCTCCGGAGGTGCTGAAAGGTCGTGTTTGCAAAGTTGGATTTTTGCTTTAGAAATGAGAATCTAAAAAGAAAAATGTTAGTTTTGATTTCGAGTAAAAATAAATCATGATTTTTTGCTTAATCACCTTAATAAATGTGCAGAATGAGCACAAGTCAGAATTTGCCAATAACAATAGTGAACAAGATCCCTTTGGAGTTGCATATGTGGTGGGATGATTTGGGTAAGGCAGGGCAAGACACGGTCAATCTATACTTGGGAGGCCTCACTAGGTTGTTGAAGATTAATCCTAGGGAAGACATCATAAAGGCGTTGGTTACATTCTGGGACCCGCCCTACAACGTATTTCATTTCTCATATTTTAAACTTAAAACGTTGGAAGAAATAGCCGAATATATTGGGGGTCCCAAAGTTCCTATGAGACACCAGTACCTGATTGCTCCAAGGGCCAAAGTCGTACACAGGTTCCTAGATTCCTTGAAAATAAGCAGGGCATCCACAACCCAGACTTGGCAACTGGTTATTGTACTCTGCAGCAAGGGAAACCGCCTTAAGTAGGAAGAACACAGGTGTTTTGCATTCATGGTGGTCTTTTTGGGGCTTCTGGTGTTTCCTAGAAAAGACGGGAATATCGACATACGAGTGGATGGGGTTGTCAGCACTTTACTTACTCAGGCCAACAGCACCCTTGCGCCCATGATAGTAGCTAAAATCTTCCGCGCTCTCACAGCTTGCAAAGCCGGAGGAGACATTTTTTAGGGGTGCAACGTGTTGATGCAAATGTGGATGATCGAACACCTATGCCATCGTCCTCAATTTATGAGTTATGGGTCGACAAAGAAAACATGCATAGAGGAGTTTTATACGAGGGTTGATGGAATCAGCTTGCCAGAAGGGGCCATATAGTGGGTAGCGCGCGTCCATTCCATCACTGCGAGCCAAATAGAGTGGACATTTGGATGGCTGCCTGTGGATGAGATCATATACATGCCAGCCATCAGGCCTCATTTCCTCTTGATGGGACTCAAGAGTATCCAGCCTTATGCCCCGTATCGGGTTTTGAGGCAGTTGGGGAGATGCCAAATAGTTCTGAGAGATGAAGATCTTAGTGCCCAAGTAGTCGAGATCGGACCTAACAGCAAGTTTCATGAAGCAGCAGTCCGCCAAATATAGAGCGAGTGTCAATACTTAACAGCAAATACATGTGTTCGTGATCGGTCCAAAGGTGAGGTTTCACTGGGGTACCTTGCTTGGTACAGAAGAGAAATTAAGTTTGGGAGGCCGGCTAAAACACACCATATTCAGGAATTCGTCGAGGCATCACAAGAACAATGGGCTTGGTTGGCCAAGGAGAATGAATACAGGGCCACAATAGGCAAGCTGGAAAAACAAGTCAAAGACCTTCAATTCAAGAATAGCTTGCAAATTGCAGCAGATGAAGGAGAAAAGAAAAAGCTAGCCAAAGAGAATGAGGCCCTTCGAGCCCAGATTCAGAAAATGAAAATAGCGGCAGAAAACCCCGCCAGAAGTGCCAAAGATGAAAAACTTATAGGTAACCTGAGGCAGAAAGTGGGTGAATATAGTTTTGATATGAACAAAGCAGAAAGTGAACTAGCCAGGGCTCGAAAGTAATTGGCTAAAAACACGGAGGAACGAGCATGCCTGGTTAAGCAGTTGAAAGAAGAGTACTACAATGAGGTCAAGGAGTTAAAGAAAAGGGTCATCACCGCGGAAAACAAAATGATCAAACAGGCGAAAAATTTCAAGGCTGAAAGAGAACATTATTATACAGCATTGGCACAATTAGAAATAGACTTGCAACAACTTCAGGAGCAGAATCAAGTAGCCGAGCAGACTTTGGAGGCCAGGGCCCAACAGATTGGGTGTTTGTTGCAAGAAAAAGGTGTCATCAGAGAGAGAATTAGAATTATCGCCGACTACATTGTTGTGAAGTGCCAAGCCTATGAGGATATGACCCGCACCACCTTTTTTGCGGTAGTGATGACATTTTTTAAACAGATAATGAGTGACTTAGATAGGCTTCAAAGGGATCTTGCATATAGGCCCACGACAAGACCGAATAATGTCCCACGGGCACCAGGAGCATTAATGTATTCATGATTTTCATTTGAGTCTGTATTTCCTTTTCCGCTAGAGTCTGTCAGTTGTTTTAAGTCTGTACTTTCTTTCCGCTGGAGTCTGTCAGTTGTTTCTGAGTCTGTATTTTCTTTTTTTGAAGTATGATAGTTTATTTTGGAGTCTGTATTTCGTCTTTTCATCAGAGTCTGTTAGTTTTTAGTCTGTCAGTTTTGAGTCTTTGTAATCAAAGTATTTGTTTTCTATGAAAATTTAAAATCCCAAAATATTTTGTTATCTATTTTACATTTATTTTCCAAGAACTACGCTTGGTCTGATTCATGCGGGGTCATGATACGTAGAAAATCTCCATAGGATTCGACCGTAACCCTAAGAGGAAAAGAAAATGAATGAAAAGAGAGGAAAAAAAAGGAGGGGAAAAATAAGAGAGAAAAAGAAAAGAAAAGAGCGAAAAATAAGAAAACTAAGAGAGAGAAACAATGGCAAAACAAGAGAGAAATAAGAGAGTAAGAACAAAGAGAAAGCAAAGGCAA